TATCTTTTAGACATGTGGAAGATGAAGGTTTTTAGTCTTATATAAGATATTTTTTTCCTCAAAATTTGTATTTCCTTCAAGGATGACGGTAGCAAGAGATAAATATAATTTTTTCATAACTGAGAAAAAGAAATTAAAGAAAGAGTTGAGTCAACACAGAGTTTGTTTGACCACTGATTGTTGGACGTCAATACAAAATGTTAGTTATTTGTGTTTAACTGCTCATCGGGTTGATAATGATTGAAGACTTCAAAAAAGGATTATAAGTTTCATTCNACAAAATGTTAGTTATTTGTGTTTAACTGCTCATCGGGTTGATAATGATTGAAGACTTCAAAAAAGGATTATAAGTTTCATTCAAATCCCTAGCCGTAAGGGGGAGATGGTGGGAAAGGAGTTGATTTCTTATATGAAAGACTAGGGAATTAATAAGATTTTTTGTGTGATTGTTGATAATGCCTCTTCCAACGATGTAGCATAATTGAGATTGAAGAGTTACTTTCAGGAGAAGAAGAATGGTCTAGTACTGAGTGGAGAAATGCTTCATATGAGGTGTTGTGCTCATATACTCAATCTTATTGTTTGTGATGGCTTGAAAGAAATAAGTCATGCTATTTCAGCTATTCGTAATACAATGAGGTTTGTTAGATCTTCTCTAGATCGACTAAAAAGGTTCAAGGAGAGTTGCAAGGAAGCAAATATTGAGTCTCGAGCTTTGTTGTGTTTGGATGTCACAACTAGATGGAATTCCACATACTTGATGTTGCAAGCTGCTACAAAGTTTAAAAAAGCATTTGTTGGTTTGGAAAGCGATGGAAACTACACAAACTATTTTAATGAAGACAGATCCGATAGAAGAAATATAAATGGACCACCAACAAATGTCGATTGGGATCGAGCAGAAGTATTTGTTAGGTTCTTGAGGACAATCTATGAAATGACTTTAAAACTTAGTGGCTCGAAGTATGTAACTTCTAACTCTTTCTTTCAAGAAATATGTGAAATTCGTGAAGAGTTGAATGAATTAGCTAAGGGTCTAACACTTTGATGGGATCCATGGCAATTAGTATGTGGAAAAAATATGATAAATATTGGGGCAATGATAAAAAGTTTAATCAGTTGTTGTTCATAGCAACAGTTCTTGACCCAAGGTGCAAGTTGGAACTTCTTAAAGTTGGGTTTGAACTAATTTATGATGTAGAAATTGCAACAATGTTATTAAAAAGAGTTGAAGAGACACTCCACAGGTTGTATGCATGCTATGAAGAAATGGCAATGTCGATCACTCCACCATCGGCTTCACCAAAGGAGACTACCAAAAATAGTAGTCCAAGTCCTTCACAGTCTTCTTTTGATCTTTCTAAAAAGATTCCTTCTATTTTCAAAGCTAAACTTATGCAAAACATGCAATCTGAGAAGAATTATTTGGTTGATTATTTGTCTGAACATTGTGAATATTTGACCAATCCCAAATTTGACATATTAGTATGATGGAAATTGAATGAGCACAAGTATAAAATTGTTTCCAAAATTGCCATAGATGTATTAGCAATTCAAATATCCACGGTCGCTTTAGAGGCGGCATTTTCCACGAGTGATCGGATTCTTGACTCATTTAGAAGTTCATTGTGTGCAAAGACGGTTGAGACCTTAATATGCACGAAGAATTGGTTGCATACCAGCAATGAACCTATAGCGCTTCATCAATATTCCGATGAGGTAGAGGCATTAGATGAGTCGAAGAAAGCTATAGAAGGTGACATTTGTTTTCTATTATCAATTTTGATATTTTTATGTTAATATCATTAATAAGGACTAATAAATATATTGATATTTGCAAATTATACAGAAGCCGAATCATGTGTTACAACGGGGGATATTGATCCAATTTTTATCAAATGAGAGGTTACAACTCTTGTACTTACTATGATATTATTGCTTGTAAAAGTTTGAGTGGAGTGCTTGTCGCTGGATACTAACTTAATACTATACTTTTGCCTTTTTGTTTATATATCGAATTTTAGACAAATATGAATGTAATTTAATATTTAAAATTACTAGTTCTTGTTTAAATTTATATGTTAACTTATTTTAAACATATTACTATAATGTTGATGGAAAAATCGCGGATTAAAACCAAATCAAATTGCAAATAATGGTTTGGTTTGGTTTGGTTTGAAAATTAAAATGGTTTGGTTTGGTTTGGAATAATTCCGAACTGCATGAAATGGTTTGTGTTGAAAATATAACACAAACCGTCCAAACCAAACCATGTTCACCCCTAATTGTAAGTTCGTCTACAATTATTTTGATCGCTTGGAGAAACTCTGTGATGGAGCAATTGTCGCGCGTGCTCAAGGTAAGGTCCTTCCTGAGTTACAAAGCACGTGTTCATGATTTCCTAGCATAAAGTCGGGTAAGGGTTGTCCAAGCTTCATGGGACATTTTGCAGGCTGCAAGGAGAGAGGTAATGGTTATGGAAGTAGAGGCTAGAATTGCATGAAGGATTAGCTTTTCTTGGCGAACCCAATGGGAGTTCGCGGCTTTGGAAGTGGTGGGGTTCGCTGCATAACTAGCCAAACGTTTGTGGATTACAATGACAAAATCGATGGAATCATGCCCTCCATTGAAGGAAGGAGGCTGGGGTAAGTTTTTCATTTATGGTGGTGGCAGCGTTGATTGTGATAATAGGAGAGTTAGAGCTAGTTGTAGGAATGGCAGCCATTTGAGGAATTGAAGGATATGTAACTCGTTAGAGGCTTGTGGCACTAATACCATAAAGAGGATTTGCACTATTAAGATTTTGAAGATTTTAATCCATATATTTTTATTTCTATACATACTCTAATTATATACAATCCGAGAGCATGAATTAAGGAATTAAAAAAAAAATGTAACTGAAGATTTACAGCCTAATTACAATGATATTGGCATGATAAAAACTGTTGCTGAAATCAAGTTAAGAACAAAATCAAGCTTTGATTATTGTTGCAGATATTGATCTCATATTTTCTGCATCTTCCTTGATATCTAATAACTCCCAAGGAAAATATTGAATGTATCTCAAATTGATGGGTTAGTGTGAGCTTATCCATGCGGTTATGTACTCTTCGAATAGGAATCAATTTTCTAAAAGATCATGTCTTTCGTACTTTGATGGGTCTGTGAGCTCCTTTCAATGACTTATGTTATGTTGAATGGATATTTGTCTAATCCGATCTGTTGCGTAAAACCTGTGATATCAATGGAACCGAGAAAGTATACCAAAAAAGATAATTCTTTTCTATTACATTAGTATTTTCTATTATATTAGATGAGTATTAGTTAGTGATCCCAACTTAATGAGTCATTTCTTCCTAATGAACTGTTGGCACCAGTTCGACATTGAGAGAAAAAGGGGCTCAATGTGTATATGAGAGAAGCTAGTCATTCCATTGTGTTTTCAACCATTAATGGGATAAGTTCTCCTCAGTCATTGATTTTTCAGTGAAATGTTCTAAGAAACCTAGGAAATCTTATAATGTTGAATCTCTCCTACATCTGGAAATTTTTACACACTGGCCACAAAAAATGCCTTTGCTCATTTTTCTGATGCAAAAGTTTTCTTTCTTCGGTGCTAAGAATGATGTATAGTGGTGAACTTTAGGATTCGACTGCGAAACGAATACTTTTTGTGCCTCCTGTTCTATTCTTATGCGCGTTAACTTTCTTCTCATTTGCTTAATGTGGTTGCAGAGTCAAAATGGTGAGTCAGTGGAATGCTAATTATGCTATTCGTAGTAGCATGAATTTACTCGAATTTTCAGTTATAGCCCTGGAGTTTAACCTTGCTCCTAACTGGCTTGGATATAAAGTAACCAAAGATAGTGAGGTCAACAAAATTTTACTAACCTGAACAATGGCAAAGATGACACCTTCGATAATGATATTTGTTATTAATTACTAAAATGACTAGACAAATTTAAACCAACTTAATAAAAATTTAATAGAGTGATTGCTAGAATTCAAGAAAATTACAAGATAATTTCATTGTGCATTGGAGAGAATACATTGAGTTCGGACTGAGGCACCATTTCCCCTTATTTATAGGCCTCTGAAATAAGCAATTGAGCCACACGAAGTCATATAAGCTACAATACCATCCTCAAAGTGTGTGTTTTCATCCACATAAGAGGTTTTTGAATGGTTGCTGAGATCGGCTAAACAAGTCATCTTGATGCTTGGGTTGTAGATAATCATGGCTGATCCTTGATTGGATGGAAATGATGTGCTAATCTCATGGACACCATGCGTCAACTTTGGATGCGTTCCAGGTGGTGAAAACAGTGGTTCAGAATTGTAATGATGATGTTTTTTCAGATGACAAAGGACTTGGGCCGAGCTAACCTGGGAGCCAATTAGGTCGTCTTTCAAGTGAATGACAGTTATCCCCATAATTTTACTTTCTGGATTGAGGTGGAATTGGGCTTATTTTCGATATCAGATGTCAACACCTGCGATGATGAAATGGAAGACTAGTAAATAGTTCAATGGGATGTTGGCTTTGCCTCCGTGAATTTGTAAATAACTTTAATATGCTCAATGGTTTTTCGTTTATGAAATCCCAATTTTGCTATTGTGGGAGCTGCCCTTTTGTAGTGCTTTGATGTCCCTCTTTCTTAAAATAATTGATTAAGAATGTAAATAACATGGAACAAGCAATTCAGAATAAAATTGAACAAGAAACTAGAATCATCGTCAGCACGACGTATGAACTCAAGTACAATTTTCAATTTCTTATCATTCCAAACCAACATCCAATAACTACACTTAAAGGTAAAATAAAGGAAAAAGAAAGGCATAATTTCAAGCTTTCAGAACTCGATTATGGATACACGAAAGTAAGGAAAATGTGTTGAGTATTAGTTTGAGAATCTAAAGTTGTGTTGAGGATTTGTCTGTGCATCTAAAATGTTGTTTCCATACAAGCCACGAGAGCTGTATTGCAGGAGCAACCAAGATATTTGAAAAACGATAATTTGAAACTGTCTTGCAAATTATATTACATCACTGTACTTCATCCAACATGGTCAATTCTTAAAGTTAAAACAGTCAAGCACATAAGAACTTCCTCTAGAACTCAAAACTAAAGTAAAAAACAAGTAATGCTACTACATATCAAAAGGAGACATTGAACCATGGATTATTACCATCTTTCCAGTACCTCAACAAGACTATTTCACTGGCTCTTAAATACTTTCTGTTGTTAATCTGCATCACTCTGGTCCAACAACATGGTAGAGGTTGAATAGGGGTGCATTCACATCTATACATGGGGTCAAAATTGAGGACAAAACGAGTCTCTTCGACTGCAGATATTCACTGAGGTAAAATCAACTTCATGCTGTTGTGATCATCGGCGCTTTTGGTCCGGTTTTGCACCGACTCAAATGTCTGCGTGCACACGTTGGCAAAACCAGTCAATGCCTGAAACACACGAGGCAATCCCATCTGTAGGCTGTTCAATGTCACTAATCTAGTAACACTGATTGATTTTTCGTACATGGCCTTTTCGTCCTCAGCCTTTGCCCTTGAAGCCTCCATGGCTGCTTGTTTTTTTCTCAACGGATTCTTACTTAAATCACTTTCGGGCATTGAATAAGGACCAAACTTGCACTCGAGCGCTCTAAGCTCGAGTACCTTCTTCTCGTGCTCTTTGAATGCTGACTCAGCCCTCTTTTTTTGCTTTTGCTCTTCAGCTTGTTTCTCTATAACGGCATGGATCACCGCTAGGAAGCTCTTAATTCCCCCTGACGCAACTTTATCGGGAGCATTTGTGATTGCACGCTGCCAATCATCACAAAGGGAGTAAATGGCTGAGTCTTGCACGGTTCTTTGAAATGGTTTGTTGCATACTTCGAAAAGGCTGAGGCGGAGCCAGCCAGTGAGGGACTGAATATAGTCATGTTGCGCTTTCACGAGGTTGCAGAAGGAGAGGTACCACTGTTGAGCTACAGCTTCAAGTTGTAGAGTTGCTTGTCGATGAATTTCAGAAGTAGGATCAGTGGACGGAATACAGTTGAGGTACTTGAGCTGCTGGACTATGTCTGTTTGAACTTGATGACACTCATACATCCTTCTCCACATGTTCATCAACCTTCAAAGCAGAGATAATTACTTCTTTCTTTAACTAGTGAACCCGATTACAGTTACAACCAATCCACTATTTATCTCTAATACCAGACAAAGCTGTAAAATCAATAATATAATGTTTTCAACCCAGTTCTAGTTTTAGGATGATCATTGATATGTTAAAAATATCTTCCTATAAAAAAAATTCTAGTAAATGAAAGCAGAACCAATGTTGCTATTAAGGTTAGACCAAAAGGTCCTCAAGCCAAATGTTCATAGTTATCAACTCGACAAATCAATCTTCTCGAAGCCGTGGAACTAACATTTCCCTAAAGCTTCGAAGTTCTTGCTTGAGCTGAACTCTAAGTATTCCTAATCCATTGGGAGCTCTACAAGTTATGTTTGCACAATAATAATTTCACTCGCTGTAGTGCTTGAGAAATTTAGCACAATTCCCAGGAATATTTGACTTGAGCATCTAGATCAAGCAATTTTTGGCATGCATGTCCCGTTTTCATTGTTTTCCACGACGACACAAATTAGGATCCATATAGCTGACTTCAATTTCATTGGGAACAAGACGGCTTTTGTTAATTTCCTTCTAGGTTGACTCATGAAAAAAAAAAAAAAAAAGGCTTTTCATTCATGATTTTACAATTTTAGTAGTTTCAAAGGGAAAATATAATTTTGCTGATTTTTTAACATTAGTAATCAAATTAATTTTGAGAAATTGATTCTCAAATGCTCGAATCCCTACTGTCAAAACACCATGTTTGTGTCCCAAAGCCAGGTGCAAACCTCAAAAACTGCAGATGTAACCCCTGACAGCAAGCAGAAGTCCATCGTTTCTTTTATTCTTCCTTACAAATAATCACACCATCAAAAGCAGAATCTCCATTCTCTCTTCTGCGTCTATTTCTCATGTTCTCCCCACAATGGAATCAAGAAGCAAGCTAATTCACCTCTAGAACCAGTCCAAAACCTCACAAATGCAATTCTTCACCCTTTCCAGCTTCTAGCAGCCCTAGACAAGATTGAAGCAAGGCAACCCAGCTCTTATCTGCAATCTCTCTCTCTCCCCATTTTTTTTGGTTTAGGGGTTGTTTGACAAAAGTTTTGATAAAAGTTTTAGCAGGTTTTGATAAAAGACATGTAATATATTGTTGAAAAGTTGATAAAAGTTATGAGTCTCATGAAATGTATAATTAACGTTATAGTCTAAGAAATTTGAAAAGTTGATAAAATTTTATCAAAGTTTTATCACACAAGCACTTATTCTATTTGATCTCGTTTCCTTCTTGGAAATGCTCAAGAATTGTGTGCCCGTGTGCTCTTGTGTGAACCATGAATCTGATCATACTCGAACCAAAATGACCACGAACCCTTTATAAAAATATATATATAAAGAATAACGAAAATATGAGAGAAAACTCAAGTAGAAAACAATTACTTTACGAACGGAGAGAAGTGTGATACATACGTAACAAATCTCATACAACAAAATTCTCCCTTTGCACCAACGTTAACAGGAAAATGGATATATGCTTCAAGATATAGCACTTACTTCAATATCAATATGACAAGATCTACATCGACTTTTACAAGCAAACCAAGATGATTTCATCATGCTCTTGTTGACCAGAATTACCACAAAACACTTTTAACACTGAAAAATATAGAAATTATGAAGAAAGATTTTTTGTCCATTTTGCAAGGTATAATTATCCTAATTTGTAAACAATGACTTCTAACAGACACTAGATGAAAATGTCCACTAGGACTGGTAGTGTAACTAAAATGAAAAGTTAGAGAACCAAATGGTGATAAAAGTACATATAATAGGACCTGATGGAGGAAAGGAGATCAATCCAATGAAAACAAGGACGTGAAAATGTAGTAGTGGGAATGCCTATAAATTTCTCCACCATTTGTTTAAAATTGCAGGTATCAGTAGCAAACATAGTTGTAGGCACATGCTTTGAAGCCCTAAAAATTAATGCATGGTATACTAGTTGTATATTATTATGAGCTTGGGGTGGTGGTCAGAAAAGGTGGGAGAACAAGAGAGAAGTGTTAGTTCCTCATTAGTATTTTCTATGATTTCTCTTGTTATAGAAAAATGAGAGTAGTTTCTTTGTTTATCATTAGCGTTTTCGACTATAACTTCTCTTGTTATTTTCTCATTGTATTAAGAGAGAGGCAGTTGCAAGTTCTTTTACAACAATGAATCCTTCAATTGTCCATTGTTCACGTAAAATCTGTGTTCACTTTAGGACCAAAATTTCCCAATTTCACTTTCTTTTAGGCTACCTTCTTTCCATAAATTTCAGAAAGTGGTATCAGATTTATGTCTCAAGCTTGGCTAAAAGTTCAAGGATGAGTCAGATGAATCCTCAAATGTGTGTGACAGATCCGAAATGCAGAGAGGGCTCTAGTTAATCGCAATGGCAGGAGGTTTCACGATGGTTACTCTCGTGGTGATGGACCTCTGGGTAACACAAACTAGGAGTGGTGGAGATGAGGTATTCCACGATAAAGTCTGTCATCCTATAGCTTGAAAGGATATGGACAAAAGAGATCATCATTTGAGAAGAGCGTGATTATTTAGCACTTTGTTCAAGAAGGGGATTGTTAAAATATATGTAAACAATCCCAAATCACTTCAAATAATTCAGCTAGTCCTCCTAGGTTCATTATGAATTGAGCTAGTTCTCTAAAAGACTAACCTATCGAGATGCAATCCTAAATCCCAACAAATATATTGTGTTCATTAACGTGTCAATAAGTATGTAATATTTCTTTTCCAAAAACAACTATTAAACATTATTCTCAATCTTTCTACTTTAATATCCTCAAATTATGATTTACTAGTCATTATGCAGTACTGATACATTTTTTATCTTCTTATCAATTGTTAATAACATAGTGTGGCAACAAATGGAAACTGGTGGGGTTTTTCGAAAGTTATCCTCCTCTTCGGTGCAAGGGATTGAAAAGGAAGGAAAAAAAAATTAACTGCATGCAGGAATTCAAGAGGACTAACCCCTTTATGAGCTCAACAAGTTGCGGATAGAGCTCCAATTCCCTCAATTTGACAATTTCAGCCGAAGTAGTCTCGATGGCCTGTGATGCTACCAAAATGTGTGACTCCAACTTCTCAACCTCTTTTTTGGCCTTCTCAGTCTTAACATAGTCAGCCCTCTTCATCTCCAGCTTCCTCAGGTAAGCAGCCTTTTTCTCATGCTCTAATTTCATGGTCTCAGAATTCTACAACAATCATAGACGAATTATAATTGCATTTTCATAATAGGATTGAAAAGCAAGGAACTTTGTTCATTATACTATAAGTTCACATCCAGTACTACATACCATATGAAAATGCACAGAAAAGGCATTATATAAAACAGTGAGATTGGAATACCTTAACCTCCTGGTAGAGTTTCTTTTCCCAAGCATACAACTTCTCCACTGTTGAACAATTAGAGGTATTCCCATCAATGCCAACACAATCCATACTATTTCCAACTGGATCCACACTGTACTTCCTAAATGCACTGGTCGAACCCCATGTCCATAATGAGTGGCTCAAACTCTTCCCGTACTTGTAATCCTTACCTACAAAAAGAACAATTTCACTCAATAACCGAATATGAATATTTCACTACTAGAAAATATGGCAACAGTGGCGAAAAATTACCCAAAGATCTTTGGTCAATGAAATTAGAAGTTGGGATCTCCAATATAAGGGAGACTGGAGCACAGGCATCAGCTGCCTTGAGAAAATAGTCATCAAGCTCTTTCATGATCTCACCCAGATCTTTACTTTTGGTGGTGGGGACTACAGCAAGTTCACTACTGACGGTGGTTGTGGTGGACCTGGCGGTGGTGTACTTGGGAAAGCCACCAATGGCGGACGGAGGGGCTGCCGGGACACTGGCCACTTCAGAACCAGTGGTTGTCTCCTCCCATTCCTCCTCATCCACTGATCTTCCTGCATACGGCATGAAAGGGTCCCAGAAATCCCAACCAGATGAAGACGGCGGCGTCAACGGAGGCGGTGGCGGCGGTGGGTGGATGGCAGAGGAGCTTCTTGTTGTTGCTTCGGATGTGGTGCTCCTTGTAGGATGCGGGGGTGGTGAAGGTGGCAGCGGAGGAAGATGGTGTTGATGGTGGGTGTTTTGGTGGGAATGAAGATTAGTCTCGCCGGTGGCGAACTGGAGAAGGGCGGAGCCGGTGGTTCTGAGAGAGCGGAGATACGTACTGTGTGCTGCTGAAAAAGCTTGTCTGGCCTTCACAAACTGCTTCATGTACTTCCTTCTAGCCTTGCATCGTGAAACCAATTCTTGCCTCTCTACTCTTGAATAACAACAACCCATCTTTTACTTTTTCTCTCAAATCTTTCCCTCAAATTATATACTAATAAAAGAGTCAGATTCAAAAGAAGGAAAAAGGAGATAAATTCTCACAAAACATTTTTCATTTTACCATATTGAATTACCTAAATCAGGCTTTCTGTATATCTCTCTGTTCCTTTCTCTCACCTACACAAACTCACCATTGATGAACAGTCGTGGGGCGGTGGTGGAAGGAAAGGAAGGTGAGAGAGTAACACGACAGTACTTTTGGGTATTCCGAGGAAGTGAGACAGCGTGCCAAAATTCTCGTATATACAAAAATGAATAATGACCGAAATGCCCCCAATGTACAAAAATATTTTGCAATAATGTAGTACCCGTTTCACGTGCAGAGTATCTTTGTCGACCCGAACCGGACCGAACAATATGGTTTGCACGAATGACTGAGTAAGGACAGACCGGTCTTTGAAGTTTGAAGTGGTACAGTACGGTTGGGAATGCAAGGGTAGTTCGGGTAACTGGGACTTTCAACGGTCTTGACTTCGCTTGACTCATTTCAAACTTCGGTTTCGGCCATGCGTTACGGATTCAGATACAACAAAGATTGTTGTGTATATTCTCCAAATCCTAATCTAATCCATAATATGTTTAAGAATAATGTTATTTAACCTCATTAGAATTATAACTCCGTCTATAATATTAATGTACTATTAAATAATAATAATAATTAAATGAGTCATTTAATTTCATATTTCATTCATCTTATCATCTAAAGTCACCTAAATTTGGATTGCAACCTCAATAGGGACACATAATATTATTCATTCTATAAATCTAATTGCTCACGACTCATGACACTAAATTTAAATGCATTTAAATATGAGATACTCTTTATTTTAAAAAGTATATCTTTAAAATCATGCTCCAAAAGACTTTCTATAATTAAATGCATTCAAATTATTTCAATTTTCAATATAGGAAAATAATAAATTAATCTAAAAAAAGCTAATTAAAGTAAAAGATAGAGAAAATTAATTAATTTTTTTGTAGTAAAATTAAGTGTTAAATATAAAGATCTAATTAGAATAGTTCAAAATTTTTAATTCTCTACCTTTAAAATCATGCTCCAAGAGATTTTCTATAATTAAATGCGTTCGAATTGTTTCAATTTTCAGTGTAGGAAAATAATAAATTAATCTAAAAAAAGCTAATTAAAATAAAAGATAGAGAAAATTAATTAATTTTTTTGGTAGTAAAATTAAGTGTTAAATATAAAGATCTAATTAGAATAGTTCAAAATTTTAATTCTCTATATTTATGGATACTTTTCAAATGATAAAATATGCTCTTTAAGAACAGAAACTCTCTTGGAGATTATTTAAATCCCTATTGGGTATTGATTAAAATTATCTCAAATCAAAATCAACACTTAATTTTAACTATATATTTCATCAATTCACTACTTTTTAACCATATATTTCATCAATTTTTATTAAAATATACCTAAAATCTAATTTTAATTTCGACTAATATTATGACAACAAAATTGAAGTCAAATAGAATGGACATGAAAGATGTTATTTTATGTTACGTCCCAATCAATTATAGTCAAAGTCAAATAAGGACTTAAGTTGAACAAATGATTTTATGAGCCTTGAGTTGTAATTATTAATATTTAAATGGCCAATAATAAAATAAAGTAGGAGTTTATGGATCTAGTTTCCTAGCATTAGAAGTAAGAGACTAAATGTTATATTATATGATGATTGGGGACTTGACTTGCAATTTATATTATATTTATCCATTTAATAAAGGAGATAAGGACTTTATTTCTTTCATTTCGGACAAGAAACATACAGAGAAGGAAGAAAATCGAAATAGAGAAGGAGAAAAGGGGAGAAAAAAGAGAGAAAAATGGAAGGAAAAGAGAGAGAGAGAATAGAAAAATGAAAAATTTCGCCAATGTGTTAAAAAATAAGTTCTTCTACTATTAGGCTTGAATTCTTCGAAATTAAAGGTAAGTAAAAAGTTATTTATTGAAAAATTATGTTAAATTTTAGGATTGTCAAATTTTTAGTTTAAATTCAACTTTATTGATATGGAATTGTTAAATTAAGAATAATAAGATTTATAGTTGAGTTAAATGGAAGAAAAATTGGTTTAGAGCCCCGTTTGTTTTTCATTCTTTGGCCAAAAAAATGAAAAAAATGATCGTTATCCATCACATCAAGCCATCATATTTGACTTCCTCTCTCTTGTATGAGTCTCGTAACTACTATATTTTTCATTCTCATTCTTATAAGAATGAGAATCAAACATGGACTAGATTATTAATGAAGCTCTAAAAATCGTTTAAATATGAAAGGATTACATTTTGGTATAGCCTGTATAATTATTAAAATTACTTAAAATAGTTAATTGTTAACTTAAAAATTATATCATATTTCAGGTGGCGATACGAATATCAAGACGTTTACCAACCAAGTTGATTTTGCATACATAGTTCAGTGAGTGGAAAATTTTATATATTTTCAAATATTAATAAGGTACTTATTCTGTAACACTTCGAATTTTTAATTTTTAATTTCGTGTGGGCTAAATTTAATGTTGGTAATTTAGCAAATAAAATAATCTATTTCCAACATTTTCGTCATACTAAAGTCCAAACGTTAAAATGATAAACACGTCTCACTTATTTGCATAAATGGTTTATTTTGCATACGTATATTTTTTTGAAATTATTGTAAGTTATATGGGGCAAATATTTAAGTATTTCAAAAGTTGATAAAAAATATACGATATTATACTCATTTTGTAGTTCGTGTCAAATAATATAAATTGGCTCAAGAATAAATAATTTTGGACTAGCCATAATCGAGTTATCTTGATAGAAAGAAAATTATTCTAATCCTAAAATGAAGATGGGACGTACTTGGAATTGAAAAGGCCACTTTTAATTAAGCCCCCGTTTGTTTCACATTTTTGGAAGAATGAGAATGAAAAATATAATCGTTATGAACCCCACACAAGAGATAAAAATTCAAATTTGATGGTTTGATGTGATAAATAACGATCAAATTTTTTATTTTAATGAGAAAAAATGGAAACTAAACAGGGGCTAATATTAAATTGAACATTTCAACTCCCATCAATGAATGATAATTTACACACTCACCATGATTGATTGAACTAAATAATAGGCTATTGAATTCTCCTAATGTGTGTGATTGTTGGTATTCATAATTAGTGGCAAGTGAATGTGTGTGTGTGTGTGTGAGAGAGAGAGAAGTGTGTTTTCCCTTACATACACACATTCACCCGTGAAAACACATATTAAAAGAGATTATTTTATTCAAAAGTCATTTTCAGATTTATTTGTTTTTTTTAGTAGCAAATCAAGGTAAGAAATGTGCAAGTGCTTAATTCTTATTCTTGATATTTTTATACAATTTTGGCATGAAATACGTTAAGGCCTTCGGGTCGATTTTTATGTTAAATTCTTCGAAATGGGCCGTTAGGTTGAAAATGTTAAATCCTACGGGATGGACTGTTTGGTCGAGTATGTAAATCCTACGTGATATAGGAATTCTTATGAAATTTCTTGAGCTATTGAATGTCGCGATCAGTTTGCTCTAAATATAAGCAATGTCGATATGTCATGTCATTTTATATTTATATTATGTTAATAAGAATATGCATATTTTTCTTACTGAGTATTTTTTTTTTTTAGATACTCACTCTTACTAAATTTTCAGATTAGAATGGATCGTGTAGACGTGTGGCAGATTGATCGAGTGAAGCTCATGGGGTCGCCAAGTAAGATTTTTAGAAATAATAATTTAAAAAGAAATCTCATTTGAAGAACACGTTTATGTTTTTTATGCTATAGGATTATTTGCCAATTTCTATTTCAAGAATAATTTTATTTTATGTTCAATTCTGTGCGTATTATTTTAGCAGATTTGATATTTAAGTTATTTAAAATGTTCAATTGCCAATTTAGTTCGTAGTATTTCAAGCTAGATAAACTCCAAAATTTTATTTGAATTGTTGATTTCACCTTATTGATTTAATACCAAAAATTATGCATTAGTGTTGAATTCTGCTTAAATTATAAAAGAAAGATTTTGGCAACACTTTAAATCTTTTAAAAAGAAATAAAAAAATAAATGTGTAATGGATTTGGGGCGTTACAGTTTGGTAGTGGATTTGAGGCGTTACATATTCTATTATATTGCATACGATTATGTGAATTATTTGTTCAATAAAATGATTAATATGAAAAGGTTCTTTCACTGTGATATATGTGGAATTTATAGGTTTGGATATGGATTATTTGTGATTGGAATGCGAGACAAAAATTTACCTGTGATTATATATTTCTTCTAATTCACCGAGGGGTCTTGACCGTGTTCTATACTACATCAAGGGGTCTTGACTGGTGATAAAGGAGTCTTGACCGTGTACATATAGTTCACTGAAGGGCATTGACTTTGTTCTAGAATTGATTATGAGAAGTTTTTGAGACCGATTTTCATTCACGGAGGGAGTCAAAAGGCCCGTGGTAAAAGTTCTTAAACCGAGGGGTAGATTACAGATTTCAATTAGAAGGTACATTTTTTGTGGATTTTTCAGTACATTTGATGTTATGAGATTATAGTATGATTACTAATTTATGTTTATATCATGACTTGAGATGATATTTTACGACATAATGTGAATGTCTCACTTTTTTATTATAATTATATAATGTTATTTTGTGAATTATTAAATGATATGAATTTGACCTTTGATAAAAATATATAAATGAAAAAGTATAATTATTTTTGAATTTCTTCACTCACTGTGATATCAACTCATATATTTTCCCAAATTTTTCTTATCAGGCAGCAGTTGAGTATCTATGTGTCTTTTGAAGTTGAGCATTTGATTTTTGAGTTAGAGCCACACGACAAAGTTTATTAGTATGACTCACTTTATAGAATATGTAGTCAGTGTTTTGGGACACGTGTTCATACCTAGATGTGATTTTGCATCACTTGTAAACAGTTATCGGGCTCATTATGTATTTTACTTCCATATGAGATTTTGGCTTATCTCTATTGTGTTTTGTTACATTTGAGATTTGTATATAGCATATTACACGTTAGTTAGTCCTATTTACAGAAGAAATAAATTTGAAATTCTATCAAAAACAATTTATAAAAGGTTACTTATTGTAGTTTTAGTAGCCTTGGTGGTGGGTCCGACTTTTCGTTGGTATTTATCATCGGTGCATG